GTGCTAGTCTTCCACGCAAAAATCTGAAATGTGCTAGTCTTCCACGCGATTAGTGAAATGTGCTAGTCTTCCACGCGAGAATCTGAAATGTGCTACTTTTCGACGCGAATAATGAAATGTGCTAGTCTTCGACGCGAATAGTGAAACGTGCTAGTCTTCCACGGTAATTTGAGATGTGCTACTCTTCGTTGGGAGCGACGATATGATGGGTGTCGATAACGTCGATAAAGATGTTTAACTGGGAGTTAGAATTAACTAGACATGGTGCAAACGGCCCTAAGGGTTTACACCGGACAATATTGCCAAGACAATTATGTCAAAATGGTGTGTTTGTTGTAATATGAATTCGCCGTGTTTACAACAAACACATAATTTTGACATAATTGTCTTAACAATATTGTGCGGTGTAAACCCTAAGTTAATTAAACGCTGTGAGTCTAACCTCTAACGGCGTGTTTACATTAGACAATGCTGTCAAGACAATAAAGAAATACGTATTAGGGCCGTTTGCACCATGTCTAGTTAACGCTAACTGGAGGTACATCCTTCAGTTAAGCACGTTAACTGCTTTATCGATCATATGTTATATGATGGGTGTCGATAACGTCGATAAAGATGTTTAACTGGGAGTTAGAATTAACTAGACATGGTGCAAACGGCCCTTAGTCGTAAAAAACGTTGATAATTTTATCCGTGGCGGGGGCGTAATTAGGGCCGGTTGTTCAATGTCCGTTTAGCATAAATCAGAGGTAGAAGGTCCGCTTAAATACCACAACTGCTTTATCGATCACATGTTATATGCATGATATCGAAAACGTCGATAATGGTGTTTAATTATTAATTAACAGATAATTATCACTAATTATCACTAATTTCTGCTGGAAAGCGTTTCTTAACCCAAAAAACTAGCAGAAACTAGCAGCTCTCTCTCGTTCTTACGCTGTTCTTTTTTTGATTATTTTTCGGTGTTTACCTTTTTAGTGCCTTCTTATGCCTTTTTTGCGATTTCTAGTCCTTTTCCTGCCTATTTCGTTATTTTGTTTTGCCTTTTTTGTAGGGTTTTAGGTCCTAAAAATCTGTACCCTGGCGATAAGATATAAAGAATTTTGTTTTTCTATTTTTATCGTGGTAATTAGTCACTTTGTCCTTATGTGCGATTTATAGAATGAATAACGCAGACTATACTTCCAAATACATACATATGTATGTATATGTACGTACAGCTTCCATTTTGGACGGAAAAGTGCAACGAAAAGTGGTAGTTTTGGTGTGTACTTTTTTACCATCCAGCGAATCGGCTTTCCGGAAGCAGTCCTACTACGTCGATTAAGCAGTGCATCCGTTGCAAATGCTCCATATTGAATGCAGACATGATTGCGGCCATTTTCAACTGCCTTATACATTTTGTTTGTTATGACATATAAGTCATCAAGTTAAAGGCTGCGTTTCTTTATACATTCCGGATAATCCCATTTCACAGCCGGAATAAACAGAATACGTTTGAAATATACGTTAACATATCATCAGGAACGTTCTAAAGAATAAGTAAACAAAAAAGTTTATTCCAAACGTTCAGAATGAATAAAGAAATTCAGCCAAAGTAAATACGGATTTTTACAAACTCAAAATAATTGACAACAATTAGGTGAAATTGAAGTTATTGTAACAAAAAAAAAATTAAATTCTCAAAAGCGCTGCTGTTATACATTATTTCAAGCGAAATCCGCCAAAAAAAGCTTTCAGTTATCGTTGTGAAGGTAAACAAATTAAGCTTGTGTAGCAGAACTATATAAGATTGTGTATTGTGTCAACTCTTTCACGCGCATACTGTTAACCGCACATAGCAAGGGTGTGGACTTAATTCAGCCGGCATCTGCTCTTGTCACCTTGCACGAAGGTCATTGAAAGTTTCGTCGGAGCCAATATACGCCACCCGTTGCGTTGCAAAACTACATACGATTAAACGATTTACATACATATGTACATGCCTGTGACGTTCGCCGCATATGCCGGCAATTCCAACGTGTATGTATTATGTCATAGCCATGCAATCCAATGAAACCGATTTGTAACGAACTGAGTAATCCTGCAGCCGCCTCTGTCTTTGCCACTGTGCCATATAGACTCAATTTTAAAATCCACACACGTAATTAGCAGGTAGAAAGAAGCGTATTCGTTTTCGCAAAATACATAGCTGGTGACGGCAACGGATACGAACAGTTTTGCCTTTTGCAATTGCGACTGCGACAACAACCAACAACAAAAAGAATAGGAAATAAAAGCTTTGCACGAAATAAAAAAAAAAAAACAAATTGTGTTAAAATGTTGCTGTGGTCGTGCTCCACGAAAGTAGCAACGACTGCTCGCACCATCGCGCTTTTCGCTCAACACTCGCTGTCAGTTGCTCCACAATCGCCGTTGGTGAATTTTGGTGCCAGAGTTCCGTCTCCGTTTGGATTACATTTCTTGTTAATTAAACGCTTTAAGTAAGTGCTTTAATTTTAGGTGTGCATTATTTTTTTTTTTTGGTGCAATACTTCTTTGCAATTCGAACAAAATTATAAACAAATGCATTTGCTATAAAGTGTAATCGAAATTGTACTCGCATATGAATTTAGTAAAAGTATGATTCGATTTTTAATGGCGGAGAATGCAGTTAGATAACAATTTACCCGGTGGTCGTGTACAAATTTTAGGTTTTTTATTAATCATAATTTTCCGCTGCCATTTAACATAATTTATGGGCGAACAAACTTAATTATCATAAAAGAAGTTGATTATTTGCAAATTCAGTATGAATTTCGCTTATTAGCGCAATATTTCCTTATTATGCCGCTATGACCTTTAATGCCTGCGTAGAGGTCATATGCGGTGAGAGAAAACTTTCCACAGAAATTTATGAAAAACAAGAGGAAATTTAGCTGAGACTTAAGTATGTACATATATGTAAAAGTAGCAAGAGAACAAAAATAAATATATCAAATTAATTAAGAATAAATTAACGCATTATTAGCAATTAATTATTTTCAAAAGAAACACATATGTACACATGTATGTATATAGGTATGCATGCAAGTATGTATGTATGTAACAATGTACAAAAGTATGATTTGTTACTGCATTTGTACATATACGTACATATTTGTAATTAAATAAATAAATAAATGATAAACAAATAGAACTTAATCATTAAATCATTATAAAATTTTTATTAAATGTATTTTAAATTTCTCTTTCTCTTATCTCTTTTATTTCTCAAACAGATCAGATATGCCTATCAAGTCAATTTTCGCCCGTCAAATCTTCGACTCACGTGGTAACCCCACCGTCGAGGTTGATTTGACCACTGAGTTGGGTCTATTCCGTGCCGCTGTACCCTCCGGTGCATCCACTGGCGTGCATGAGGCACTCGAATTGCGCGATAACGACAAGAACAACTACCATGGCAAGGCTGTGACCAAAGCTGTTGATCATGTAAACAAGACTCTGGGGCCTGAATTGTTGAAGGCTAACCTTGAGGTTACCGATCAGGAAGGCATCGACAATTTCATGTTGAAATTGGACGGTACTGAAAATAAGTCGAAATTCGGTGCCAATGCCATTTTGGGTATCTCATTGGCTGTCTGCAAGGCTGGTGCCGCCAAGAAGGGTGTACCACTGTACCAGCACATTGCTGACTTGGCTGGTAACAAGGACATCATTCTGCCGGTGCCTGCATTCAACGTAATCAACGGTGGCAGTCATGCTGGCAACAAATTGGCCATGCAGGAATTCATGATCTTGCCAACTGGCGCTACCAGCTTCACTGAAGCCATGAAAATCGGCTCTGAAGTGTATCACCACTTAAAGAAGGTCATCAAGGACAAATTTGGTTTAGATGCCACCGCTGTGGGTGATGAGGGTGGTTTCGCACCCAACATTCAGTCGAACAAGGAAGCCTTGGTGTTGATCCAGGATGCCATAGCAAAGGGTGGCTACACCGGCAAGGTGAGTTGTGGGGAAGGAGAAGAAAATTATAATAAAATTTTTTGTATAACTATTAATTCATAGATTACTTGTGCATATTCTATGAGAGAAAAAATCCAAATGTTCATGTATACCTATTTTAAATTCTTCATTCCTTCCACCTATAGGTCGAAATCGGCATGGATGTTGCCGCTTCTGAATTCCACAAAGACGGTCTGTACGATTTGGACTTCAAGAACCCCAACAGCGACAAATCACAATGGCTGTCGCCCGAAAAGCTCACCAACTTGTATCAGGAATTCATCAAGGAGTTCCCCATCTCTTCCATTGAGGATCCCTTCGATCAGGATCATTGGGATGCCTGGTCCACCATTACTGCCAACACTCAAATCCAAATTGTCGGTGATGATTTGACCGTGACCAACCCCAAGCGTATCCAGACTGCCGTCGAAAAGAAGGCTTGCAACTGCTTGTTGTTGAAGGTCAACCAAATCGGTACCGTAACCGAATCAATCAAGGCCCATTTGTTGGCCAAGAGCAACGGCTGGGGTACCATGGTGTCGCATCGTTCCGGTGAGACTGAAGATACTTTCATTGCCGATCTCGTTGTTGGTTTGTCAACTGGACAAATTAAGACTGGTGCTCCATGCCGTTCCGAACGTTTGGCCAAATACAATCAAATTCTTCGCATCGAAGAAGAGTTGGGCGCCAAGGCGAAGTTTGCTGGCAAAAGCTTCAGAAAGCCACAATAAATGTGTACTTTAAATAGTGGCGAGAAATGAATAATGATTCCAACGTGCAAGTAGAGAGGACACACTAGTATGGAAGTGGCCAATTAAGTTGAGCTTAATCAATAGAATACAATACACGAAAAACCTAGTATATACCGTTGTAAATGTATATCACCCACCTACCTACTATTTATCAATAACAAATGTTAATTAAATTTTGTGCACTGCAATTATTTTGGTTCTCTTATTCTACTTTAAATACACATACATACATATAAAATACAATTTAAAATTTTATTTAAATTATA